GTCGCTGGGGTATATTAGTAACAATAGCCAAAATTCATTGTATGGATCAAAATGATTGATTTTTCTTTTATGCCAAAAATCATTAGGATATTAAGTAAAGATCATGTTCTATGAAGATATTTTGTATATTTCCTACTGTAAATATATAAAAACTTAATTTTTGGTTAGTAATATGCATTGCTAACGACTTCATTTGGACAACTTTAAAGGCGATTTTCTCAATATTTAGAATTTTTTTTTTGCACCCCATTGTTTCTGAAGGGAATGCACCCCCGATCTACATAAATGCGCGAATCATTCATGATCCAGCCTCATCTACAGAAGAAGTGAGTATAATGTTTTGTAATGAATCTTTGCAAATCGCCTTTCCTAATAATGTGCTAATTAGCAAGTTTCACGATGAATGCGGCTAAAGTAAACAAAGTAAACAGTCTCTCTGAGAGCAGCTCGGAAGAGAGGGGCGGGGGCATTAACATTCAAAGGAAAATGCTACAAAAACGGCTTGATCTGAAAAGAGCTGTTTTTGACAGGCTAAAAAGGTGTGTTTTACACTACCATTGAGACATTTTAACCAAACTATGTTACAGACTTCATTAAGACCATAAAGAGTCATATCAACTTGTGGAAAATGGGCATCCTATGACCCCTTTAAACAATTTTCACTCAGAAATTGCTAGTAAATTTCAGAAATAACAGAAATGGCAAGTAACACATTGAATTAAACATGACATTATGAAGTAAAAAGACTGAAATAGTATTTTCTTGTAAAACACTCTAATAATCTGTTTTATTTACAATTACAAAAATCATTTGCAGAGTGTGTATATATAGATTCTAGAAGTAGCATTTTTGTATATACATATATATAATTTATATTTGAAAAATACAACAACATGTGTAAAAATTGCCAAAATGCAATGAAATTATTTATCTGCCTGTCCACCATGATGCAAAAAGGGTCCAGTGTTACTTTTTGGATGTCACAGTTTTAATGAAATCCAAAAAGTTTTATTTAGTTTTATAGTTTTATTATTATTTTATTTTATTGCTTTTGCAATGGAGGAAAATCTTTCAGCAACCGGGTTGCATGCAAAATGTGAGAGACAATTAAACATGACATTTTTGATCAATTCAATTAGTTCATTAAAATTAGTTTTTAGAGTTAAAAATTAGTTTTTGGAATTAAAATAAATTCAGCAGTTTTTCAATATTATTAAATCATACGATTTTCACTGTCTGTTACAGTCGAGAAGGTCAAGACAAGCGAGGCAGTGCAAAGTGCCAAATAGTGTGAGACAGCTTCTTGATGTGCTATAGAACTGAAAACATGCTGGTCTATTTTATCATCGACCATGGCTAGTCTGTATTGTTAGGATGGTGTGCAAGTGTTTTCTACAGTTTCCTCCTTGTGGGAATGGATACTGATGTCCATATAGTCAATGAAGACTGGCATGCGTAAGACCGACAGAAGCAAGCATGGCAGTCATGCTTAGCGTGCTAAACAGAGAGGGCCTGTCATCTATCCTTTCCGCTTCCTCCCCCAGTCAACCCCCACCTGCCTCGATCCCACCCATGCTCTTTGTTCCTGGGCCGCACATCCTGTGTCTTCAGAGGCCAGGGACTGGAGCCTGGGATGAAGAGGATGCAGTTGAACACAGATTTAACCTGTTCTTAGACGCAGTGAAAATGCGGAATGCCTTTCGTTGTTAAACGTACGGCTTGTGTTTGAACTTTGAGCCAGTGCTTGATGCTATTTAAATAATGATCTTAGTTGTGAAAAACAATTCACTGTACAGTCATGGCCAAAAGTTTTGGCAGTGACATAAATTTTGTCTTTTGCAAAGTTTGCTGCTTAAGCTGTTGTAGTGTTCATTCACATTGTTTCTAGATTATTGTTCTGAGTGATCAGATGCATTTTAAATAATTGCTAAAAGCTTCATTTGTCAAAAAATGAACTTTTCACAAAAAAACAAATTTCACTGTTTTTTGATCCTGACACAAAATGAGCAGCTAACATTAATTGACTAATCATATCAGCAGCACATGTGGAAGTGTGAATGAGTACTAGTCAGATTAATCACTATCATACTAATTAGATTGTAAGAGCAGACTGATTGCTATAAAATGAGGGTAGAAGCACTTCCAATCATCGTGTTCTTGTTAGCAATGGTTACCTCCAAAGAAACACGTGCAGCCATCACCGCTTTGCATTAAAATGGCCTCACATGTGAGGAAATTGCTACAAAGAGTACTGCACCTGAAAGAACCATTTACCGGGTCATCAAGAACTTCAAGGAGAGAGGTTGGACTGCAGTGAAGAAGTCTTCAGGACGTCCCAGAGTGTCCAGCAAGCGCCAGCGTCTCCTGAGCGCCTCCTGAGGAGTCAGCTAGGGAATCGTGTCTCCAGCAGTGCAGAGCTTGCTCAGGAATGGCAGCAGGTTGCTGTGAGAGCATCTGCAAACTTTTGGACAACGGCCTGGTGTCAAGAAGGGCAGCAAAGAAGCCACTTCTCTCCAAGAAAAACGTCAAAGACGGACTGAAATTCTGCAGGAAGTACAAGGATTGGACAGCAGAAGACTGGTGCAAAGTTATTTTCTCTGATGAAGCTCCCTTCCGACTGTTTGGGACATCTGGAAAATCGATTGTTCGGAGAAGAAAAGGTGAACGCTACCATGAGTCCTATGTTGTGCCAACAGTGAAGCATCCTGAGACCATCCATGTGTGGGGTTGCTTTTCAACCAAGGGAGTGGGCTTTCTCATAATTCTGCCCAAAAACACTGCCATGAATAAGGAATGGTCTCAAAACTCCCTGCAAGAGCGACTTCTTCCAACAAGCCATGAGCAATTTGGTGATGATCCGTGCATTTTCCAGCATGATGGAGCACCATGTCACAAAGCAAGAGTGATAAAGAAGTGGTTGGAAGATGTTACATTGAAATGTTGGACCTGTGGCCAGGCAACTCCCCGGATCTCAATCCCATAGAGAACCTGTGGTCAGTCCTCAAGAGGCGAGTGGACAAGCAGAAGCCCACAAATTGTGATTAACTTAGAGAACTAATAAGGCAAGAATACAGAGGTTATGAAGAACAAGGGTCAACACTGTAAATATTGACTCATTATATATATTTTTTTTGCCAATAAAAGCCTTTAAAACTTATGATATGCTTATCATTGTTTTTCAGTATACCATAGAAACATGTGGGAAAAATAATCTACTAATACTTTTGGCCATGACTGTAGGAGTCGAACGGATATATTTTTGATTCAAGGAGGATAATACCCTACTGAAAAGACCAGCACGGGACTCCTTAACAAACTAAACCAACAGTCTTCCTAATTGTTAATCAGCTTCACCAGCTACGTTTTGCAGGCCATCAGTATAAAGGATATACCTGCATTAACCACATTAAACAACCTGGACTAAACAAATCTAAACTTTGTTTTCTGTCAAACTTTAGTTTGGGGACCAATTCTCAGTATTAACTAACTATGACTTTTGCCTCAAACTCCTAGTTTGCTGTGTATTAATAGTAAGGTAGTAGTTTTCAGCAGCCAATTACTCCAGTCTTCAGTGTCACATGATCCTTCAGAAATCATTCTAATACGCTGCTTGGTATGTTGGGGACACACCTATTAATTATTGAATTCAGGTGTTGAATTCACACCCATTGCCACAGGTGTATATAATTAAGCTCCTAGCCATACAATCTGCATTTACAAAGATTTGTGAAAAAATGTTCCCTGTTTGGCAGTGCAGACGACAGGGCTAGGTGCTTGATTTTATTCAATATGGCCTTGGATCTGATTGAAATACTTTTATCCATATAGTGCAGGGGTGTCCAGTAGTGATGCAAAGTCCGATTCATTTCTGCAAACCGGTTCTTTTCGGACAGATTGGCTCATTGAACCGGTTCAAAAAGCCGATTAATCGGTTCCTGACGTCATCAAGCAATGACGCCTCTACGCATTTCTTTTCTAACAACTCAGTGCAATGTTGTATCAATGAAAAATTCAAATAAGTAATTTGTGTCAACACATATGAAACATTCAAAAAATAAAGTTATTTGTGTGAAAGCATATTGCTGATTATTACCATATAATTCACTTAAGTTAACTTCACAAAGGTGTTTGTGGTCACAGTTTCATTTGCGGATCCTTTATGTCAGATACGACTGACTGACCATATTGACTTGCTGTGCGTCCTGCGTCATCAACCCAGAACTAAAGTTCGATTAATTTCGATTTGTGAACCGGTGTCATGAGAAATCGAGTCCCCCCTCGAAATCGGGTCCGCTTAGGACCCCGAGTGATCCAATTGGCTCAACAAACTTTTAATGGGTATTATTTTTAGCGCCTGATTACAATTCCTGCAAAATCGCACTTTGATTTGTCGTT